GGTCGCGGGGACGGCCTGGGGACGGGGAGGTGCGGGGGAGCCTCTCCTGTGCCGGGGCTCGGAGGGGAAGGCATGGTAGGTCCTGTCTGGCCACCCCAAGACCTGTTCCCAGGCACTGCACTGATGCCCCAGAGCCCAAAGTCCGGCTGTCCCCTTGCCATCCTTGGGTTCCAGAGTTAACACAGGGGCGGATGTGGGGAAGAGTGAGGGGAGCACTGGGAGACGGGAGGAGTGGGGTCAGCCTCCACTTGATGCGGGACTCACTTGGTGTCGGTGTACCTACACCTGGAGCGGGGCTGGCGGGTGACTCAGTCCCCTTGGGTGACAGCCATGGTGCAGCTGCCCCACACTGGCCCCAGTGAAGTTGGCTTCCCGGGGAGCCCATGGCCGTATCCTGTCCCGGTCCACGGGGCAGGTGGTGATGGGCAGGGACCCACAATGTCCCCCTCAAAACCTGCCGGGTTTCACTCCATGGCCCTCTCTGACCTCGTGCTTCACCTTCGCCAGGGCGGCTGCAAAGCCACGAGGAGCAGCGAGGTGCCGGGTAGGTGCTGCCGGGGCTGCGGGACCCCAGGGGTGATGGAGACCCCAAGGGGCAATGGGGACCTGAGGGGCAATGGGGACATGAGGGGCTATGGGGACCCAACAGGTGATGGGGACACCAAGAGGCCATGGGCACCCCAGAGGCAATGGGGACCTGAGGGGCCACAGGGGCCCAAGGGACAAGGGGACATGAGGGGTGATGGAGACCCAAGGGGGTGGTGGGGACCTGAGGGGCAATGGGGACCCAAGGGGCCACAGGGGCCCAAGGGACAATGGGGACATGAGGGGTGATAGAGACCCAAGGGAGTGGTGGGGACCTGAGGAGCAATGGGGACCCGAAGGGATGATGGGGACCTGCAGGGTTATGGGGGCCCTGAGGGGCCATGGGGACCTCAGGGTGTCAATAGGGACTCCAAGGAGCAAGGGGACCTGAAGGGTGATGGAGACCTGAAGGGACAATGAGGACCCAAAGGGCGATGGGGACCATGGGGTGGCCTGGGGACAGGGACAGCAGGCTGGTGCTCTCTGGAGTGGGACCTGTCCTCTGGAGTGGCTCTGAACCCCCTCTGTAGTGCCCTGGAGGTGACCCCATCCCTTGGTAACCATGTCCCCTGATGACCCCATCCCCAGTGACCCTGTCCCTGTGGTGATGCTGGAGATGGGCTCTCCCAGTGACCTCATCTGTCAGTGACCCCATCTCCTGGTGACCCTCTCCCCAGGAATCCCATCCCCCTTGGGCCTCCATCCCCCTGGTGACCCCATCACCAGGGATGCCATCCTGTGGTGACCCCTTCCCCTGGTGGCCCTATCCCCTGGTGACCCCACTGGCCTGGTGACCCTGTCCCCAGGGACCCTGTCTCCCAGTGACCCCCACTTTCCACCCCAGAGGGTGACAGCAGCCATGGCCTCACCCCAGCCCCAGCTGCTGATGGCCACGGCGG